ACAAAATTAAATATTTTTGTGGATAAATTATTTCCAGATCTCTCCCCCAAGTTCTTGTTAGGATACTGACTTTGCTTTCAACTAATACTTGTTTTCCTTTCTGGTAGGCAATGATCATAATCTTTTCCATTCAAGAGACAAAATACACAGAACAAAGTCAAGAACACTTATAGAAAAGGAAGATAATCTCCCCGTACGTATCTTCTGCCAGTACAGGAAAACCTCCCTATAGAGCAGCACGAACATGGAGGGCAGCCAAGGGTAAAAATACAAAGGTTTTAACACTGACAGGGGGGTGGGGGAAGTGGACAAAAGTCCAATTTAATATCAAACCTGAACACTGGTAACTGGCATTTATTACAGAACTGGAAAAAACTATTTTCTACTAGAAGCTTAATTACATTGGTACTCTCTGTTTTTTGGATCCATTCTGATTTACTGACACAGCCCTAGGACTAAAGACTTGCAGATTGATTTTGTTACAGGTTTTTCTCAGAAGCAAAATCAAGTGGAGGCACTATTGTCTTCCCCTGACCCTACTGCTTAGCTTGACTCCATAGGACATACCCTTGGCTGTGCTGGAACTACTGTGCACACAGACTGTGAACGAGGCAGAAGTTAATCTAATCAACAAGCTTCGAAGTCAGCTCAGATTTCTCATCAAGCTGAGGTGTCAGCACAACTGAGGGCTAGTTTATTGCAAGAAGCAAGGCTTTACTTCCACTAGAGACCGTATATCTTGGAAGTACTGCCTACTACTATGTCAGCAATGGCATGAAACATTTCAAAAGGGAAATGTACTTTAATCTAAGCTTGGATCAGTTTGCCAACTCAACAGATGAAGTTATAGAGCTTTGTGGTGTGAGTACAGAGATAGAAATACTTGGTCAAGTGACTGGGCTTTCAAAAGGGGAGAAGAATGAGGTAGAAGGCTGAGAAGAAATACAAGGAAAAGCTTTTAGGTTTTGTTGGTTGTTCGCTGGTTTAGGATTTAGTGAATGAACTTCTGTGAGGCAAAACATAACTTGTTTTTTTAAATAAAATACTTTCACAAGTTCTGGAAGCCTCAAACTTTAATCCTCTAGCAAAGAACTTGTGCCCAAATTGAATTTACTATGGCTATCAGATCTCTGTACAGCTCTGAGAGCTGCCTTGATGTAAAGATGATCATTTGTAGATATGTTTACTGAATCAAGACCTCAACAGTGAGATGCTAGCCTGGGTTACCCAACACTTCCTCAGATTTGGAAAGACATTCCCAAAGGAAGGACATGGATTAGTATTACTGAGGGTCAGCTGCACTGCATTCATGCCATTGTGTGCATTTTCCACCTCTACTCAAATGCAGAGTAGGGCCCACCTAGTTGTATTTTCACTGTGTGAAATGCTACTGGCTGTTTTCTGTATTTCCACAGCCAGAGTCCAGACAGCTACTGGACGAACTGGGTCCAAATGGGAAAGGAAGAATCCCCTTGGTAGAACAATTACTTAGTGAAGTAAATCACTGCTTGCTGCAGTTACCTTTTCCAACTCTTTGACCATTTACTGCATGAATATTAGCCTGGTTAGCGACTTTATGCTTAGGAAGCAACATCCTTGCAATACAACTGACTGTTTTCAGATTAAAAGAGCATTTTAGAGAAGAAACAGCCTATTTTACATTTGTATGTGTTTTCTGCAAATTCCTACTTGGACAGTGTGTAAGGCATCCTCCTCATCTCCTCCTCCCCTCAAAGGCATGCAGAATGAAAGATAAATTAATTTTATAGTTTAGGGTCAAGCCCTCTATATAGGAAAAGCAAGCAAACCTCTACCTCTTTGCTGTATGGTAAGGTGCATCCTGACTGCAGGTTCTAGTTTGACGCACTTATTATATACATTTACTCTGGCTTTGAGCTAGAAGACCAGAAATATCTTCAGAAGAAACACAAAGAAACAATACCACACAATTTGAATATTTCTCTGTCCTGAGCATGAAAGTCCATTTGCCAACTTCAACTGGCATAATATTAAAGGCCAGGTTGGATGGGGCTTGGAGCAACCTGCTCCAGTGGGAGGTGTCCCTGCCTGTGGCAGGGGTTGGAACTGGATGAGTTTTAAGGTCCCTTCCAACTCAAACCATTCTGTGATTCTAAAGATGGAAGCTGAAGAAACTTAATGGCTTTTAACAGCTCACCTTCCCTCTCCTGTGTGTGCTAGGGAGCTGACCCAAACTGCACTCACCTTTGCTGTCCTTAACAAGCATGCCGAAGCCATCTCCCTTCTGGTGCAGAAAGGTGCCGACATCAGCCAGCAGTCAGGACCATAAGCAAACACTCATTCTGGTCTTCAGAAGTGTTCCCAAAAAAAGCACTTGTACTCCAATTTTAGAGAGGATTAACCTCTCACCCATCCTCCACACATCTGTAGCTCCTTTCAAAGCCAAATCTGAAAATAACAACCTGCAAATGAGCAAAGAAAATAGTACTCACAGGCCTTGCAGCTGCCAGCTTTGAAGATTGTTCATAATTTCTCTTAGGAAAGCTGCTGTTCTATTCAACTCATTGCCCAATCCACTTCAACTTAATACAATAAACCACACTAAAGCCTACCAAAATAACCTAAATCATCATGACTCCTAATGTATTCTATATCCTCCCATTCATTTGTTTCATTTAATCTGCTAGACCACTTTCCGTGTACCAGCACGGCTTCCCCAGGTAACGGGTACACTGCTCTTGCACCTACACAGGTGCAACAACACTGCTCTCCATGAGGCAGTTCTGCTTGGATCGGAAGGAGAGGAGTGTGTCCAAGTTCTCTTATGGTAAGTGCTGAGGCTGACCCTCTAGCTCGGCTGCAGGGTACCCCCAGTCTGCTTGCAGAGACCTCCCTGGGAATGCTGAACACCCAGAGCCTGCCCAAGGCCCAGCAGTCATCTCTCACAGATCTGTCCCTGCAAGAAGAGGCATCCAGGAATTCTGAACATACCCTGCATCAACATTTATCATTGAATTGTAGAACGGGTTGGAAGGGACCTTAAAAGCTCATCCAAGTTCCAACCCCCTGCCATAGGCAGGGACCCTTCCACCAGACCAGGTTGCTCCAAGCCTCATCCAGCCAGGCTTTGAACACTGCCAGGGAAGGGGCAGCCACAGCTTCACTGGGCAACCTGAGCACCTCCATGGCCTCTCTGGACTCACTCCAACAGCTCCATGTCCCGCTTGTGTTGTTGCCCCCAGAGATGGACACAGGATTGCAGGGTGGGGGGGATCTCACCAGAGCAGAGAAGAGAGGGAAAATCCCTTCCCTCAACCTGCTGGCCATGCTCCTGTTGATGCGGTCCTACATGTTTCTTCACTAACTCCAGTACCTTATTGTCATGGTTTAAGCCCAGTCGGTAACTCATGCAACCACCCCCTCACTTTCCCTCTTCTTTGGCAACCCCCGCCCCCTTCCTGGAGGGGTGGGGAAGAAAGCATGAAGAAAGTAAATCCCATAGGTTAAGATAACACAGTCCAGTAACTTAAGATACAATAAGAAACTACTACTACTACCACCAATATTAATAATTATAAGGGAAATAACAAGGGGAGAGAATATAAAACTAAAAGGGGAAAAGGAAGAGAAAACAATAAACACATGTATGATGTGCTGTGGTATGGAATACCCCTTTGGCTAGTTTGGGTCAGGTGTCCTGTCTCTGCTTCCTCCTCTTGCTTCCTGTGCCCCTCCTCACTGGCAGAGCATAAGACTGAAAAAGTCCTTGATTGGAGTAAGCATTACTTAGCAAAAACTAAAACCATAGGTTTTATCAGCACTGTTCCCAGACTAAAGCCAAAACACAGCACTGCACCAGCTACTAGGAAGGAGAAAAGTAACTGCTACAGCTGAACCAGGACAGTTGGGATGAATTTAAGTAGCTAAACCCTATATGCTTTATTTACAGCTGCAATGCAAGCATAAAGAAGAACACAGAAGGACAATCAGCATATGATTTAGCTGTTACAGCTGGAAACAATGAAGTGATTTCATTGTTCACAAGTAAGCTTAGACAAGGAACAGTGGAAAAACCTGTGAAACCCAGAAACACTGGTCATGTCAGTGTGTGATCGACTCCCCGCAAGATCGAGCTGGAGGCTCTTCAACAATGGGAGCACCTTAGCACACATCCTCTTCTGTCTACAGACTTACCAGCCCTGTACAAACAACTCAGGCCTTCTAACAGCCATGTATTTTCTACAGGATCCCTCCTATTCCTCCCCAGCAGTTCACAACACAATTCTTCACCGTGTTCTGTTCTGACAGATTTCTTTCCAAAATTGTGCAAGAAGCAGCACCAACCAGTCCTTCCAACACACAAGGTCATTGTAAAGAGATCTGACAATCCACTTGAGCAATAGGTGGCTGCTCTGGAGACAGGCTGAGAGATCTGGGCTTGTTCATCCTGGAGAAGAGAAGGCTCCAGAGACCTTAGAGCAGCTTCCAGTGCCTAAAGGGTACACAAGCAAGATGAGTAGCACTGCAAGCTGTACTCTCATTAGCTTGTTTCCCAATTTGAACTTCACAGTGCATTTCGTGCAGGTCATCACATTGCACTAAATTGTTCACCAGAAAACAGAGTAAAAATCACTTTGCTCTTTTACCTTCAACTTTAATTTCTAAATGCATCAACATGAGTCAAAACCAGCTACAAACAGAGGTTTACAAGGATACCAGGCACACTAAGATTTGGCACGATAGACATTATTAGCCACAAACCCAAACCCCCAAAGGACTTTTAAAATTCCCCCCTCTCTTTATTGCCAAATGTATCTGAAAGCATTGGTATTTTCAGGATGAAAACGGAAGTGCCTTCCAACCCTTGCAAGAAACACAAGGTTTGGGGTCTCTAAAATAGAAACAGCCCAGTTTAAAAAACAGGAAGTAAGAAATAAAGCAACAAATAGTAATCCTTAACAGGAAGGACAGGAGAACCCCTGCATGAAAAAGAAATATGATGTATGTAGCCCATCAGATCCTCAAGTCTGCTCCTGACAGGGATGGCCATTCTAGAAGCAGTCCAGGAAACAGCCATCGATCGGAGCAGCAGTGCCAGAGCACACATCAGACAGGTGTTACTAGGGAGCGAGAAGCCACAGGAGCTTAGGAAGCCAAACTCATTATTGCCCGACGCACCATCTTGGCTTCATCACGAACGTCATTCACCTTCCGAGAAATGCCCTTTTTCTGCAGAGAATAAAAATAACGTTACTGTCCCCCACTAAATTTGGCATCGTTCAGCTCTGATGGGAAAGCAGGCTATACTAAAGCCTTGTCCAGAAGACAAGAATGCCCCAGGGGCTGGAGCAGCTCTGCTCTGGAGCCAGGCTGAGAGAGCTGGGCTGGTTCAGCCTGAAGACAAGAATGTTCCAGGAAGACCGTAGAGCAACTTCCAGTGCCTAAAGGGGGGACAAGAAATCTGGAGAGGGGCTTCTGACAAGGGCCTGTAGGGACAGGACAGGGGAGAATGGCTTTAAACGGACAGAGGGGAGATTGAGATGAGACATCAGGAAGAAATTCTTCCCTGTGAGGGTGCTGAGGCCCTGGCACAGGGTGCCCAGAGAAGCTGTGGCTGCCCCATCCCTGGCAGTGCTCAAGGCCAGGTTGGATGGGGCCTGGGGCAACCCGGTCTAGTGGAAGATGTCCCTGTCTGTGGCAGGGGGTTGGAACTGGTCCCTTCCAACCCAGACCAGTCTGGGATTCTACATCTCCCATGAGGCAAAGGCTGAGAACTGGGAAAGGAGACAGAACCCAGAACCCATCAGGAAACACTGAGGCAAGAAACCAGGAGGCCAGGGAAAAGACTACACGACTAGAAACTTGTAAATGACTTTTCCAGCATCACGGGGGTGCGGACAACATCACAGTGCCGCCATGTACATACAATTGCGTTCTTCACTCGCTCTCTATCCAGCTTCAAGAACTCCTGCAGCGTCAGCTTAGACAGATCTTTCTGAAGGGAGATGAAGGCGCAGCGCGGAGAGTGCTTCTTGTGCTCCTCGCTGAAAGGAGCAAAGAGAAGACCAGGAAAACCAAAGGGCAGCAGCTCACAACAGGGCACACTCCACCATTCCCCACCCCGCAACAGGCACCTCGGGAGCCCAGCTCTACCCCGCGGGGGAAGGGGACGGGGCCGCCCGCAGCACTCACAGCGGGTCATCGTCGGGCTCCCAGCCCTCCAGCTCCTTGAAGCAGAAGAAGCACTGCACCACGTCGGGGCCGTTCTCGCTGGGGCAGTGCACGAAACCTGCCGCCGCCATCTGCGAGCGGAAGCAGGGCGGGAGGAGCCATCAGCCCCCACCGCCGCACCCCTGCCGCAGCCCCGCTCCGCTCCGCTCCCCCCGCCGGGCTCACCCGCTCGGGCGTGCAGGCGCAGCCCTCCACGAAGGGCCAGTTGCGGAAGGTGGCGGCGCGGGTGCAGACGAGGTAGGAGCGCCATTCCTCAGACATCCGCAGCTCCTCGGCCACCATCGCGCTGTTCAAATGGCGGCGGGCAGGCGCGCGGGGCACGCCGGGAGCGGCTGTTGGGCGCGGGGCACGCCGGGAGCTGTAGTCCCGGCGCTGAGGTGGCGGCCGCGGGCCCGCCCTGCGCTGCCGGCTGAGGGCAGCGCCCCGCAGCCCCCGGGAGCCACCCTGCGGTGCGAGCCCTGCTCCCCAGCACCGCCCTTCCGGCCGTGCAGAGGGGTGAGCCCCGCCGGACACAGCGCTGCTGGCAAGGGCAGGCAAGAAGCAACCTTGTCATTCCCGAGGAGCCTGAGGTGTGCGGCTCCAGCGTTTAAGAGGGTCTTGGAGAGAGCCCAGAGGAGGCCATGGAGATGGTCTGAGGGCTGGAGCAGCTCTGCTCTGGAACCAGGCTGAGAGAGAGGGGCTGGATCAGCCTGGAGAAGAGAAGGCTCCTGAAGGGGAGACCTTAGAGCAGCTTCCAGTGCCCAAAGGGGCTACAAGAAACTTGGAGAGGGGCTTTTGACAAGGGCCTGTAGGGACAGGACAAGGGGGAATGGCTTTAACCTGACAGAGGGGAGATTGAGATGAGACATTAGGAAGAAATTCTTCCCTGTGAGGGTGCTGAGGCGCTGGCACAGGGTGCCCAGAGAAGCTGTGGCTGCCCCATCCCTGGCAGTGTTCAAGGCCAGGTTGGATGGGGCTTGGAGCAACCTGCTCCAGTGGAAGGTGTCCCACAATTGGATGAGCTTTAAGGTCCCTTCTAGCCCGAACCAGTCTGGGATTCCATGATATAGTGTGAGCCAGTTGGGAAAGGGATGCTCTAAAGCCTCCAGCACAAGTCCATCAGGGAAGAGGACAAATTTGGCAGTTTGACCTTTTTTTCCTGTTTTTTTACATTCCATAAGAAGCTGCCCTGGGTTTCCACACTGACAGAGGAGCACAGCAGGAAGGGTCCTGCTAGGCAGGACCCACACAGAGCTGCTCCCACTCCCCCGTGGCGGTGACCGCCTGTTGTTGGCACAGAGCGCTGCTCTTCCCTCCCGCGGGCAGCAGGAGTGGCTGAGCTCAGTGTCTCTGCCTGGAGAAGGAAGCGGGACCTGGCAATCTGGCTCCCAGCCACGGGGGCAAGAGGCAGCTGGTTCTGCGGGGAAGAAGCAGCTACTCATCCATCACAGCAGCAGGGGCTGGGTTTCCTGCGCGGTCCAACGTGGCAGGCAGTGTTTGCTCAGAGATACCTCCTCCAGATTATCTCCTCCCAGGTTACCTCTGCGGCAAGCTGATGTGAGGACAGGAGTCAGAGATGAGGGATAAAGACATCTGAGCTCAACTGCTCCCCAGGAGCTCATCCTTACAAGCAGGTGGGGCTGTGAAGAAGCACATCCTTACACCACAGGTGGCAACAAACAGACCAAACTCGTGCTTCTTCCCCCAGACTGAATCTAACCTGAAAAGAGGCATTCAGCACCTATGCGGGCAGCCTCCGGACTCTCTGGGAAGAGACTTCTCTTTCAAAGTAAACTGCAAAGTATGACTCCTACAAAATTACTGACAACTATGCAGCATGATCCCAGTATTTACCCAGCTCAGACACTGTAGATCAATGGGCATGATAAAGCTGACCACAGTAGGCAGCTTCCTGGTTGTGAAGTATCAAAGCTCACACAAGCACATGGGAAGGTTCAGGCTTTGCTGCCTTACTAGGACAGGGTGAGGTCCCACCTTTATTCTGCAGGAAAACTTTGTTCTGCTAAACTGGGATGTGTTTGGCAATTGTAATCGCTGCTACCGTCGCTGTGCAGCTCAGGGAAGCGTGGAGTAATTGTGTCCTTAAGCGGAGTGGATGCTGGCTTCTCAATCACAGCTAACATAACTCATCATGCTGCTCTCCACAGCCTGACATGGAGGGAAGCAGAGGGCTGAGAGCACACAATTTGTTTCCCCATGTGCCTTGGAAGAACCTCATCCGTTGCATTGAAAACCAGCTGCACGTGACTGTTCAAGCAGTGTGGCCTTAAGCTGCTAAGCATTATTCATCAGTCAGAATCCTGGGGAAGAAATGTTCTCCTGAGAGGAGGCTGGAAGTGGTCCCTGTGCAGCCACAAACGACATCTGGAGCTGCAGCAGCTATCTTACAGCTACTCCAAAGGCTGCCTAATCCTGGTGCCGACCTCGTGAGGGCAGGCATTGCTCTCTGGCAAGGCTGGGTGTTTCCCCAGGGCTGCCAGCTCCTATCAGATCACACACCTGACTTCACATGCTGCCAGTTACCAGCCTGGCCTCAACCTCCTGTCCTCAGAAGCCTCTTGTTGGAAGTGGGGGCTGAATTCCTGCTCCCTGAACAGTGCCTCTGTGCTTACCCATACAGCCAGCAGAGCAGAAGAAATCACCTCTTACAGACAGTGTGAGTTGCTGAGAGGAGGTAACACACAGATACCACACCAGTGTCCTACACCAGTGAGGTAGACTTCACCAGTGTCCTTCAGTCCTGGTTTGCTGGGATCCCTTTGCAAGTCTTCTTGGGTCACAGCTATTCAGCTTCACCCAGACCATCAGCAAAGTGATCCACTAGGATCAACAGGGAAGGATCTCACAGTAAGCAATTCAAAGGCATGCCCCATTTTCACAGGCAGCGCTAAGGAACAGGGCGTGCAGTTTACAAAAGCACGTAAGATAACACTAAGGGATCAAAACTTAAGCCTACGGCCCCAGGAGTGTGGGATACAACAGGTATAGCCTTTAACTGGCCAATTTCCCAAGAAATACAAGCGAATTAGCAGGAATCCCAGTGCTGTTCTTACACCTTCTCTACTTGGCATTTTCCCTCTGAGAGACAAAGCCACGGAGGTATTAGCATAGAACAAGCAACTGCTCAAAATCTTCATGGCCACCTTTAAGAACATGATGCAGAACATCACGTTCATCTCATCTTCTTCAGACTTTATCTCCTCCTCCTGGCTAGCAAGGAAACACCCTGCTGGGGCCTGCACGTGTGTGACTTCTGTGTGGGTGCCCAGTAAAGGAATAAAGGGTTTCTTGCTATCTGCTGCCCATACACAGGCTTTGCATCCTCGAGTTTGCCAGATTTCAGTGAAATAAGCTGATGGAGACACAGCTTAACAAGCAGCATGACTACAGGTAGGATTTTCCAAGGGAAGGGCTTTAATTCCATTCATAAAGACAGATATTTTTTTCCTTCCAAGCACAGCTAACTCAAACATCAGTAACACTGAACTTCACACAGTCATAAAGCAGGCAGAAATGTGCACAGATGTTAGGGCACGTAACACTTGGATGGGTTCCTTTCCCCTCCCACTAACACTGTTTTTGTTTTGGTGATGATGTACATAGGCTACACAAAAACACACTTTGTGTGTCTGTCTCTGCTGTTACCAAAATGAAGACTTCATTAAGGCAACTACTACTACAGGCAGGTATACACAATGGATTAAGGATAAAGAAGTCACATTTCTTGTGCAGATCTCTGTAAGGCTTGATGTGGAAGGACCAGAACAGTGAATGTGAATCGTACTGAAAACGCACAGGCTGACCTTTGGTTAGGCAGCACACTGCCTGCTTGCTGTTCATCTGCAATAAAAGTCAGGGAGAGAGAGAAGCTGCTAAACTGTAAAAGGACTAATCCCCACTACCACAGAAACTGTTTCGGGTTTGTGTTCTCTTAATTCTTGCTTCTTCCTATTTATTCTTTGCTCTTCTCTTATACTTACAGCCATGAAATCCCAGCCAAGATGCTTCCAGAAACTGGAACTGGCCTACCTCTACCCTTCCCTCCCTCCAAGCTGCAGATTGCTTCTACAAACCAGAGCCTGCATTTCAGCCGTCACCACTGACTTCTGTTCTGGGTTTCTTCTAGCCAGAGCATCTGTAGCAGGAGGAGGTGGGTGCTGGAGCTGCAAGGCTGGCTCTGTGGTTAGAGGTGTGCCCAAGGGGCTGATGTGCAGCAAAACCCGCTTGACATCTTGTTCTGAACACCAAACACTGGCACTACAAAAACTTCACAGTGAGCACAGGGCCAACGAGGGAAAAGGAAAGGCAGGCAGTCGTGAAGGAGTGGGAGACACACACCTCACAGAGCCTCACACTGGGGAAGAACAGGACTTCACACGCTCTTCATTATTCCTAAAGCATGGTTCCAGCACTGCTGTTCTGGCAAGTGCAGAGCTTTCCTAAAGAGCGCTTCCAGGTAGGGGCACCAGGAACTTGTTTCCCTTCACGGATTCAAGACACGGTTCCTAACAAAGCAATCAAATCACAGAAACACCGGATGAGTTAAGTTCAGATGTTCATTTCCCATAAACCAACCCCAAAAACCTGTGGCTATTTTTGGGCAGGTTTCAAAATTTGACACACTCTGAAGTGACAACCGTTTTTTGTTTGGGGTTTTCTGTTTGACAACGAGGCTTTCCAAAATAACAGCGGCACAAAAACTCCCCATAAAGAATTTCAGTCTTCCAGTGGTTTCAGCAGGTCCCGGTTGGCATTTCCAGGCCTGTCCCCTCGGAGCAATAGGAACAAATCCTCTTTTTGCAGTTTTATCACACAACACGGTTGACGTTCAACGTCCTAGGGATAAAGGCGTCGGTGTGCTCCAGCTCTCACATGGCAGCCAACATCCTCCACTGAAAGCCGTGGCAGTTCTTTGCTTGACAGACTGGGCTTTCCACAGCCCCCCGACACGGATCAGCGCCGCAGCCTGAGAAAGAAGGCGTGCTTGCACTCCTTGCTGTCCAAGGGGTAGTATTTGTCATAAAAATCCAAAATGTACTCTTCAGTCTTAAATCCAAACTTCTGGTAGAGCAGCATAGCAGGGTTGCTTGCAGAGACGTGAAGGGTTACGTCTTTGCCCATGCAGGTCTGCCAAGGGAGGAGAAGGGGGAGAAAAGAAAGAAGTATCACAGCAACAGAATGAGACAGCCTCTGGGGGAATGCGGAGGTGAAGAGATTCATCAGTTCAGGTATTCAGGTTACTGAGGAAACGTGAGAAAACTGCAGGCCCCAACACAGAAGTTACCACACACAGCAACAGCAGAGGG